AAAAAAAAAAAAAGCCACTGGGGAAGAGGCTGAGGATTCTGCCCTTGGTGGTACTGCTTACTTCACCAACCTGATTATGATACTACTCTCCTTCAGCTCTTATTTCCTCTTGCCTTTTGCAAGCCCTGCTCTGTGCGGACGGTGTGCACGGTAAACCTGCCTGCTCTCAGGTCTTTAAGCTGTACTGGAGGTTCCACGGTGATCTAAGGCACCATAAATCTCTGGTTGCTCATTCTGAACCGCCGTAACTATTAAGGTTTTCCTAGAACTAAAGTTAAGTCTGAGAGAACTGAGGGACAATGGTCTTTGAGATATAAACTTATATTGCAGATCTTGGGGACTTGACTTTTACTAAAAAAACAAAACAACAAAACAAAACAAAACCCAATGAGAAAAGTAGAATGCCCAGTTCATTAATTAAAAACATTTGTTTTTCTCTCTCCAAGAAAAATAGATGCTATAGTAGGTGGGATTAAGAGGCCAGGTACTTTGTGATCTTCGAAGATGGAGTTCACTCAATGTTTCTGCATGTCATGGCAACACCAGAGAATGTGCCTGTGGAAGTATTCTTTTCCCCAAACTCAAAATTCAAAGAGATGTATTTTTTTGAGTACCAATGTTTTGTAAAAAATCTACAGAATTTTAAAGATTCTCTTTTTTTTTTTCTTCTTCCAGATTTTAAAACTTAACGAAAAGAATCTGTCACCTTGCTTTAGGAAGGTTTTGCTGCAAACCTGTCAGCCCTACCTCACAAAGTAAAGTTAGTAAAACATTAAAAAATATAAAAAATAAGTAAAGGAATCTGATGACTAAAAAATATGAAGCCTATAGGTCTTTTTCCTATTACATAGTTTTTAATCTCTGGATGAGGATGGATAACTTTAATAGCCTGTAAGTACTTTCTTTTTTTTTTTTTTTAAGATTTAATTTATTTATTTGAGAGAGAGAGAGAGAGAGCACAAGAGTTGGGTGAAAGGCAGAGGGAGAATCAGACTCCCACTGAGCAGGGAGCCCGACGTGGGGCTCAATCCCAGGACCTTGGGATCATGACCTGAGCCGAAGGCAGACGCTTAATGACTGAGCCACCCAGGCACCCCCTGAAAGTACTTTCTTAACCATAAATTCTGCCATTTATTTGCTGTACAAATTACACTGTGAGCTGGTACATCATTATTCTAAAAAATTTAGAAAACAGAACTGTATCTAGAAAGAAAAGCCATTTAAACAAACACCAGTTTTGCATGAAAGTATTAGTATTGAGAGTATCATGACCAAGGAGACTTACTCATAAATCACAGTAATTTAAATTGCTACCACATTCTGAATTTTCAAACATTTACCACTGTGCTCTAGAGGCTAATAACTTTAACAGTGTTTAAAAGGGTAGTCCATGTAAAACAGGACTAACTAAAATAATTGACTAGCCTTCTTTAAAAAATATCACTTAAAAAATAATTTGAGATAGCTAAGTTGACCACATAAGAGATTTTAGAACATTTTATTTTTCTAATTATTTCTTTCTTCTTCCTCCTCTTCCCCGCCTTCTTTTTTTTTTTGGAGTGAGGAGGTGTTGGCTGAGGTTGAGCACAATGATCTGCATTTGGGTGTGTTGGGGATGTGGTAAGCAGTACTAAAGTTTTCTTGAGTTTTTTGTATAAGAAGATGTTAGAGCGGCGCCTGGGTGGCTGAGTCGGTTAAGCATCCGACTCTTGATTTCGGCTCAGGTCATGTTCTCAGGGTTGTGAGATCTAGCCCCATATCAGGCTCTGTGCTGGGCATGGAGGCTGCCTGAGATTCTTTCTCTCCTGCTCCCCCTCTTCCCCACGTACTCCCTCTCTCTCTCTCTCTCAAAAAAAAAAAAAGTTATTAGATTAAAGAAGTCCTTAATCCTATGTAGAACATAGTATCTATTCTGTGGAAAAATGAGTCCTTAAAAGGGAAATTTCTGATTTTCTAATGCTATTCATATTACTACTAGGTTTGGCCATTTCATGAACCAAAAAGATGAGTCCTTTGCTTGGTGCCGTGATTACTATGCCCTCACAAAAAGGAAGTGATTTAGAAGCAGCCAATAATTATGTAAACCCAAGTTCTGAGTTCTGCCAGAAGGCTGGATAAAGTAAGCCTTTCAACATCTCCCTCTATGTAAAGTGTACCTAGGACTGTATTAAAAAATCATTACAGTATTAGATTACAGGTCAACCGTTAAAGAGTAAATGGTAATTCCAGCTCAGGATGGTATTCAAGATTCTGAAAACAGGGATTCTGAAGGTGAAAGGATACTTTCCTCAGGTGAAGAAGAATATGATGATAGGCCCACCTTCCTGAGAACCCCCTGACCCCAGCTGTGATTGAGCTAATTCTCTGACAGGCTGAAAGTGAGTATGCGGAGCTGCTAAATATAAATGATGCTCCTGACAGAGAAGGTTTTCTTTCCCTGGCCGGGGGTGGGGGGGTGGGGGGACAGCGAAGCGGGAGAGTGAGTTACACAGGATCTCCTCACCAACAGAGCTGAGGAGATGAGACACACTGAGGAGAGTCAAGTTTCTCTCCATCTCTCTGCAATCCTGGAGTTCTGTATAGTTTTGCCAATGAGGCATGCCTGTCAAAAGTTACTCAATAAGCCACAAGGTGTTAGAGAAAAGAACTTCAAAATGGTCAAAGCAGCATGATACTTCCCCTAGCTCATTTTTCCATCCGTGGAATTACTTTATCTGTCAGTGGCATATACGCACAGTTCTTTATAATAAGTTCTCAAAGTTATTGTGTAAAGGGTTGGTATTCTTGGACTAGGACAGCACCTACAGACCTCTCCCCTGCTTCAAGTCCTGCCATTGCTTTCCACCGCCCACTTCTCATTCTGTTTGGGTCCTAGCTCTTGCCCGTGGAAGTGACTTAACTTCTCTGAACTTCAGTTTCTTCATCGGCATCATTCAGGATAATAATACCCTCTAGGGTTGTCATGAGGATTAAGTAAAATGCTATCCCCTGTATGAAAGGGCTCCTCATAGAGCCTTTGTACTGAGAAGGTTCTCTATGAAGTTCCCTTCCATACTGAATATATACACAGTGACCATGGGTAGCCATGTGAAGAGGCTAGAATAAATGGATACCATAAAAAACACCAGCTTAAATATAAACAGATTCTCCTAAATAAATCATCACCGAAGAAAAAAAAATCATGCTTACACTTTCTGCTTTCTCAGCTTTGTGATTAATATTGGCAGGGTTCTACCATGTATTTGCATGTTTGCCTACGTAATTGGGCATAAATAGAAAAAGAACCACAATTAAGAATAGTTTTAAATAGTAGGAGGACAAGGAGTTTATTATGTAAGCAAACCATTGTCAAGATGCACTGCCCCTTTCCATTCCACAAAAAGGATTAGATAGGGAAGGTTTTCAAGTTAGAGTGTTTGTTAAAACTGTTTTCACTCATCAGTTTAGGCGGAAATCAGCAGTAAACATATTAATCAAAAGATATTCTAGAGACAGAATCTTTTGCTTTTTAATGCCCAAACAACTTTCAGGAATGTCAAATTCAAAAGGTCTATTCTAAATGGAGAAAACAAGGCCAGGGGAAGAGATAGGGGGAGTGCTTCTTTTAGAAATAATTCCGTGAAGCCTACCTTTTGCCAACAGCCGGGCATGGGTAATCCATCTGGCCCCTGTTTTAAAAAGAAGAGTAAGAATTCTTCAGGCTCCACAAAAGTGAACATACTTCACAATTCACATGCTCACAAGCTTAAAAAATGGATTTCTACCCGTTAGGTGCCTGTAATCATAGGCATTTTTTTTCTAATTATCAAGTCCCAATAGAATACCCAACGTTAGTTAAAAGGAAGAAAATTCAAATGCTTTCTGGTGTGAGAACACATTTTGAAAATACATAGAGAAAAAATTACGCCTAATTTTGAAAAAGTAGTTTACAAAGCATAGGGGCCTACCCAGTTCCACCTTTAGATAATAAATCTGTACTATTCCTTTTAATTTCATTAAAACACATTTCACAATTATCTTTATTAAATAAACAAAAACAACTTCTCTTCCTGGTCACTGTGGTCTATGGTTGAATGCATGATAATGATGAATAATCAATGATGAACCATTTGTATCTGAAGTTCATAGCTCTTCACATGCCAGTATCTTTTCTTTTTCCATACTAAAAGCCAATATAGTAGAACGCATTCTATTAATTGAATTAAAAGACAGTCAGTCCATCGATATCTTTATAGTAAGACGTTATCCATAGCATTTATCAATTTTTTAATTAAAAAGTCTTTAGAAGTTGGTTAACCAATTTTGATTCAACAAAGGATTCTTAAACATTGCACAATTTACTTTCATTTAAAGCACAAGCACTCTTCAGATACAAATGATAGAAAAAAGGCAGGAAGAGTTGATATATTATGAGGCATGCTTGTGTTTTCCTCTAACAAAATGATTGTAAGATATTATTTATTACTAAAGACAAGCAAATAAGACTCATATTGAGATTTTTTAACTGTAATTATTTACCAAATACATTTTTTCCTATAAATATAATCTCTTAAAAGGCTTACGAAATATAACTTTGTCTTTAAAGAATCATGCTTAGCACTGAAGAATAATATAAGAACATGCAGACCAAGTATAACAATCAAAAAGTATAAAACAACTCTAAAAAGTTTTCTTTTATACCTCAGAAAATATGAATATACTTTCTTTTTAAATGTAAAAAAAAAAACCCACTTTGAGATAGCTTTATATTTGGGAAAAACTTGGTAATGCCAGATTGGTACAAGGAGAGGGTCACCCAGTAGAATTTTAGATTTTAGTATAAGGAGGATTTTGAGTTCATGCCAATGGGGATAGGGGAGTTCTGTCTACTTTAGGAAAGTGAGTTTCAAAAGGAGAGACCATTACATTGAAAAGGTTATGTGACAAAGAAGAGGGTTGGGCTGCAGACTATTACCATCTTTAGAAGCTCAGGGAAGTTTGGTTTCCTTCCCTATGGTCTCTTAACAGCATTCCCTTGAACTGGTTAACTCTTGACCACAGAAGCTTAACTCTGTCGGTCTGGCCTTATTTACAGCCTGACAGAAATGTAGTGGAAGAGGCAAAAATGTCTTTATTTCTTTCAGAGAAAAAAGAAAAAAAAAAAAAGAGCTAAATTTAGGGATAGAACCCAAAGTCATGGCCTAACAGTCCCTTTACATAGAAGATTTTTACATCATTTGAATGTACTCTTTCAATATTTTTGGAGTAGGTTAATATTCCCCAGAATGCAGACATGGCAGTCAGGTCATTTGTGAGGACAATGTCAGGAGGTTAATTTGCAGTCTTTGACGGAAAGGCGAGCTTGCTCTCTTCACTCTGCAGAGATGCTGAAGGAGCTGTTCATGCACATGCATGTAGTGTGTTTATCATGTAAAGCTTGTTCCAGAAGTACCACTTTACACTGATAGAGATGAATATGTAATAAACAAAGGAATTGCATGCAGGGTGGTAGGAAAGAGAAATACTGTACCAATTGGCAAGGGGCATCCAGCCCATCCAGGCCAGGCTGGCCTGGCTCCCCTTTTTCCCCCTTAACGCCACGGAATCCCTGTTTGTAAAGATTAACTCATAATGTTACTAACACAAGAAATCACTTAAGAACAAATTCAGCTAAAGAAATAACTACAATACCAAAAGGCTGGGAGAAGAGCAACTCTGAAGGACAAAGTAACATCCACTGAAGCTGGACGGAATAAGAGCTCGACCCATCCCTGTAATCAAGGCTTCTCTGGGAACAGTGACTTTCTCTTTTGAATAGTGTGGAATAACACCAATTCGTCTTCAGATGCTACAGTCACATTCCAGTTGCACGTCAGTATCTGAGTGCTAAGAAACCAACAGAGCTGATGGCCAGAAACGAGGCATGGAATATACCGGGATAGCCCGAGATAGATGCGTGTGGTCCCTTGAAGCCTCTGTTAAACACCCCCAATCAGAACCCCTGCTGTTACGGGTCCCTCCAATTTGCTCTTCTCCCAGTTTATTCCTTCACACATGATATCTGGATGGAGACAGAGTTCCATGAGTCAGACATACCAACGGGCAAGGTGCATCTAATCCAGGAGCACCCTGTTCTCCTTTCTCCCCTTTAGGCCCCTTTTTGCCTTTCTTTCCCTTTTCCCCCTGTGGATATAAGGGTTTAAATAAAAGACAGGTTTTATTTGGGGGGGAAATAATGGCGATTCAAAAGATGGTTTAGCCAATAAACGTCTGGAAGGTCATTTACCACTGTTTTCTGGTTTAGGTAAGGCATGATATTATAAAAGATAACGTAGACTTTCAAAGTGACAATGGATTCTGGGCAGTGATAGGTGCGATTTTACTTAAGATACTCAACAAGATGAAAGAAGGAGATTTAAAAAGCAAACACATTAAGTGCTGACTTAGACCCCAGCGCCCTAGTCTTGGTGAATGAGGTGTTTCCGCCGCAGATCCGGCGAGGATGATGGATACCAACTGTATGGGAGCCAGCCGGTGGCAGGTCAAATTCAGAGGAATAATGAATACTTCACCCAATTTTCAATACTGTCAGCTTACTTTTTTTTTCTAATTCTATAACAGATGAAAGCTACACTGAGCCGGACGAAAAGGACAGAATATTAACAGCTTCTATCTTTTGGAAATGTATCCAATTTTATAACATTATTTTTTATAGCTCTCATTAAAAAAAATATTCAGTATATTGAAATATGCTTCTCTTTCTTTTAACATTTTTTTTTTAGGAAACTAAAAGCAAATACTTTCTTTATTAAGTCAGGTAAACAAATTTTAAAAGTGCTAATACTTCTCAGCAATGCCAATTGGAGAAACGGGCTTATCTATAAATCGAGGGATTTTCTTTAACTCACTCTTATAGATCTCATGCCAGGTGTTCACAATGGTAAATGGGTTTCCAGCCTACTCACAATGTAACAAAAGCCAAAAGCCAAAAAAAAAAAAAAAAATTCTGTTCAAGAGAGGAAAAGCAGTTTGGACTCAGTTGAGCTAATGCTAAAAATGAGGTAGGCAGGATAATTACATAGTGGGAATGTAGCCATGGAAATTAGTATTTAGGAATCAAGGTAAAGGTTGTGGAAATCTGCATGGATCATGGGAATGGAGGAATTAAGGAAAGGAGGCAAAAGGAGGAGAAGGAAGGAATGCACCTCAGCTGTTTCTTATTAACATAAATATCTCTGCATATTTATAGACAAGAAGTTGGTGCTGTACAGAATACAAAATACTGTGCAATACATATTTAAATTAGTGTATTCATTCCGCACTCAGGAAGGCAGTTACAATAAAAGTGAATAATTTCAGAAGCGAAACAACATGAATATTCAAAGACATATACATAAGATATATATGAGATAAGCATTCAAATTAATGCATTCATTCTGACTGTGTGAGTGAAAGCTCCTCATTTGTCTCCTGTGTGCCAAAAAGATTGCATCAGAAGGCTCAGAATCAAAAACACTTGGGTTTCTTGAATACTGGGGAAAGAGAAATTCTGTGTTGTTTAGTTTATCATGATCAAAGACGAAGACCTGAGAATCCGGGTGAAATGAGAGCAGGTGTGACAGGAAGTAAGCTGGGAGGATCGTTCAGGACTAACTTGCTCACTCATGTAGGATCCGTCAACATCCTCAGCAAATAACTTCAATGTCACGACGTAAAATTGTTTTAAACTTGTTTGGGTGAGCTTTTCCCTCCCAGAAGGCAGAGGACTCTTCATCACATAGGTGAGACAGGTGTGTTGGGTATTGATAATTTAGAATTCAATTCATTATTTGGTAAACCAACTGAAATTAATCACACCCCAGAAAAGTGTTGTCATATGAATGTTGACTCTAACAGGCTACAGGAATCATTTTTCAGTAATATGTTAGCGGACCTCAAGCTTTATGTAAAACAGACACTTTTATACAAAGAACAATGAATCAGCATTATTATGAACCAACATAATTTTGTAACGGTTAGTGATTCCCTATGCAACACAAAACTATCTGCCCTTGTGTTCCTAGGAGCACATGAGGGCTCTTGCTAATTTTTATCTCCCATGTCAAAGAATGATATACATAAAGTGTTCCTATTTGAATCTAATTTTCCTAAATATAAAACTTCTAATCATGGAATCTAAAATATGGAAATATTTTTGTATGAGTGATTAACATTATTCTGAGGAATAAATTTATAGCTTTGTGTTTTCATAAGTTACAATACTGGTAATTTCTTCTTTGTTTGAAAGATCATTAAAATGAGTATCCCCATAATGGTGACATACTTCTGAGTGAATAAGATTTTAGACTCATACAACCCATTAAATAAACATAAAATAAATGTCTATAATCTTTAAAGCACCTCGACCTTGGGCTAAAAGCTTGCATGCACAATTATCTCAAATCAAAAATTGCATATTTTATAGTTAGTATTTATAATTCAGAATAAAGGAATTTTTTTTTTTTATGTTTCAGTTTCTTTGTCTGTGAAATGGGGACAATAACAGCACCAATCTCAGGGGGGGTTGTTACGAGGATTAAAAGACTTAGCGTATGTAAAGCTTTTGGGGAAACATATAGTAAGTGTTCAATAAATGTGATGATATTGATAATGATGATGATCTTGCTTTTACATCACTATGACAGGAGCTCTCTTACCAGTGGGAAGCTAGGTAATGTCTAAAGCCTAAGGAACACACAGCAGGCTTAATACCACTCTTTCTTTGACAATTCTAATTTGGCCTTGCTTTTCAACAGCAATCAAATTCATGGTTAGAGAGAATTTATAGGGTTTTGAAAACTGTTAAGTACAGCAGGACATAAATTAATCTGAGAAACAGAATTGGTTTAAATTGGAAGTGGGAAGGTATAATTTCAGCCACTTTTACTTCTTTTGCTGTGTCCAGTGTAAACAATTACTATTCAAGGACCCAAGCAAAGGGGAGAGGAAAGGAGGAAATGGTTTCAAAAATCCATTATCCAAATTTTGCTTTCAGACATAAAACCAATTTGCCTGATATTGGCTGCTATATACCCTGGGGCCGGTGGTCCCGAGATAGAACCTGAACACCAGCCTCATGAAATACACTAATATCTTCATTTAAAAATATCTCGAGCATCTGAAAGTGGCAAGTCCTAGTCCCTGATAAACTCACTGGGGTTTATCAGTCACAGTGCTTTCCCTCCATTTTCCGATAAAAAAATTAGGATACAGGACACGTCTACTAACTCTCCTGGAATGCTGTGCATAAAAATGAGCTGCTGGCTTTACAGGGTTCGGTGAGCTCTGCCAGAAGACCCTTGCAGATTTGTGCTATTTAAGTTTACTTTGATGTAATAAATGCCTTTTTATTTCACCTTCAAGAATCCCTAGACATTACATCTTTCAACAAATTGGTGTCAGGTAAGCCTGCCAATTTTTTTCTTCTATGCTAGACTGTGCCCTTATTTCTAGCACTGTAGCCTTCTTCATTCTTCTGTGAAGACCTGGCTTTTTTAGATCAGGCACTGGTGTGTTTTTGGAGCACAGGATGGAGAAAAATTAGATATATGAAAGAATCGCATAGATTGAACAGCAAAGCACACGGCATGAGAAAAATCAAACAGGCACATGCTAGAATGGAGAGGTCACCTTTTCTCCCTTTTCTCCTACATCACCCTTCTCGCCTCGTGGACCAGGGAAGCCCTAGAGGATAAAAAGCAAACCAAAAAGATCTACTGATGTAACTGTGGCAAAATCACATTAAAAAAATGTAAGATTCCGTGCTCCTGAACGCAAATATGAAGAAAAATAGCACCCCCCAAGAATCTCAAAACTTAGATAGTTAAAGTAGCTTAGGAGTAATAGTTGTCTAACATCTCAATTATCTATATGAAACACATTTCTTGCTTTTTCTCCTAAGATATATATAGTGGAAAGTATATCAGGATCCTAGTTTGACTCCTAGCAAGGACACTGACTTGTGTGGCCTTGGGCAAATCACTTACCTCACGGCATTTTATGCTTGCCCAAAACAGGTGCTTAATAAAAAGTTAACTATTATTACTTTTGCTATTATTATTCTTCACATAATAAGGCTGCTATGATATTCACATAATACAGTGATCATTTCAAGAGGCATTTACTTTTGACATTCTCTATTTTTTATAGAATTATGTTATTATAAAACATAGACACTTTATGCTAAGAGGAAAAAAATATTGCATAGCAGCTTTGAGAATAAACATAGTATACCATTCCCGAAGGGTGGCACGTGAAAGATATTTCAATTTTATGCATATTTTTAAATAAGTGGTTCAACTGCTGATGTTCAGGGTGTCCCTAATTTGGGAGAGTATTTTGAAGTGCCATTATCAACTGTTGGTTATTAACTTTATACTAATTATGTGTTTTGCTTTTCTGTTTATCTCATGCAGACACTAGTGGTGTATTTTATATTGCAATCTACACACACAGCAATATATGCTGTATGCATAACTATGTGCACAGAAAAAAAAAGTATTTTTGCTGTTATTGATGATGGAGACCATCAGCATCTATTATAATAGGAAGATGTTCATTGTACATGTATTACTTACATCAAGACCAGGCTCTCCATCTTTCCCCTGCCAAAGAACCATAGTAGCTACATTAGTGTTCCTAAGTTTCATGAATAGGTTATTGTTATTGTTTTATTTAAGGCTGCCTGGACATGCAACACTAGTATTAGAACAACTACTTCAGAAATGTGAAAAAGAGTCTTTATTGATTGATTAGTAATACAAATTTCTTTCACCAAATCAAGTGAAGTGACCATTAATGCTGCAGTTAAGGGTCATAAAAATTTTTTTATTATAGATTAGTTTACATAGCCTGATATTTCACTGAAGTTTAATGCTTGGCATCCAACTGATCAATCCAGGAATAAGTTGAAAGCACAAATACCAGTTAGTTGATTAAAAACATACCAGCACTAATAAAATATGCAAATCAATACTGCTTCAACTTGGTAACTTAGTACTTGGCTCATAAATGAGAAAAGAATGTGAAAACTGTTTATTGTTAAGTATAGTTTTAACTTGGCTAGATGTGTACCTTGTCTATAAATTTTGAGGGTGTGTCACGATTTAAAAACTGTTTTTAAGTAAGCTTTGTCAATAAATAATTCCCAGATACAAAGGAGCCACCAGACTGTTGTGCTTGATAAATTTACCCCCGTGGTGCAGATTATTGGGGCCATGAGCCTATTGTGTCACACAATGGATCCATCCAAAGTTACTGGGAAGTTGCTTTAATTCTGACAATTAGATTTTGAAATCTATTTCAAAATCAGCATCTCTTTCAGCCAGCACTAATCCTGGCTTAAGTTTATTACTTTGGTTCACAAAAACTAAGGAATAAAGCATGTGGTAGGCACACGGGGGTTAAAAACCTTAATATACTATATGTTTCTATTGTAGCCCTACCCTGCCCTATCGAATTAGTTATAATTATCCCAAAGGGAATGTTCTGAAGCATGCCCGCAGCCTCAATTTGAAGACTGTATAACAGAATTTTCAGAAGGCAGGCCGCTATCAACATTCTACGTTCTAAAGAGGTCATTACAGGGCGTTAGGTCAGAAACATCAAAGTCATTGTAAAAATCAATGTGAGAAATCACCTTCATTAGCAAGATTAGTTTTAGTAGGTAACCTGTGAGAACAGATAAAGTCTGAAGAGAGTTGTCTTACATAAAACTTCCCCACCCACTTTTGGTAGCGACCTTCTGAGGAAGTGCCAATTATGGGCGTCTAGTCAGATGGCACAGAGAGGGTGGTTTCTGACAGTGGGAGTCCTGCTTTCAGGTTAGGTCTGTTTACCTTGTGGACAATCTCTGATCCTCTCAAGCTCATGATGTGTGTGTGTGTGTGTCTGGATGTGGGTGGGAGAATAGAAGTGACTCTGACCCATCAAGGACATGGTAACACTGGTGTTGTGGAGAACTAGTGCATGGTTCTTTGCTCCTCCAATGTGATTAGTCTGTCCCCCCAGGGAAGGGTTAACCGTGCCAGTGTCAGGTCATCTACGCATGCTGAAGGTGGAGACAAGAGACAGAACTCACAGGCAGACCGTAGGGTCCTCTGGGTCCGGGTTCTCCCACAGCTCCTTTTTCACCCTAAAATGAAAGCCATCAAGTTCAAATCATATACAAATGCCTATATTCACACCCTTTCCCTAATGGCCTGTATATAAAGCCTCCACGTGAGGTACCATTCTATCAAGATTCCAATGATGCAGGCTCTTCTGGGGTCTCTGTCAGTGATCAGGTAAAAGAAACCCACATTTAGGGGCGCCTGGGTGGCTCAGTCATTAGGCGTCTGCCTTCGGCTCAGGTCATGATCCCGGGGTCCTGGGATCGAGTCCCACACGTCAGGCTCCCTGCTCAGCTGGGAGCCCGCTTCTCCCTCTCTCTCTGCAGCTCCCCCTGCTTGTGTTCTTTCTCTCTCTCTGTCAAATAAATAAACTCTTTAAAAAGAAAAGGGAAAAAAAGAAACCCACATTTGCATATTTTATCAAATTACCTCTGAAAGAAGGGCAGTAAGAGTGCTGCAGCCCAGTTGTGCAAATGACTTGCATATTCTGGAGTGCTGTACTTGGGTTTCTTTGGCATTCGTGTGAAACATTTATTTGTTACTCACTATTTTAAGTTACTACATTTTTAAAATATAAGAATAAAATGTCTTTTTTTCCTATCAAATATCTCTTCTTTGGCAGCCTCTTCCTTGGCCGCCCTGGCCCTTTACCAAGGTATATTTTACTTTATAGCCTCCCACACAAGCAGACACGGGTGAGTTTTATTCTCTGTTGAGCTCCTCACTAGAATATGCACACTGGGGGCCAGGGCCTCTGGTTTGGCTCCCTCCTGCATCCTCACGGATCACAGTAGTGTCTGGTGCATCAGTAAATATTTGTTGAATTAATCAAGTCAAACCAGTACAATCCTGTACATATTTTGTTTCCTTTCTGAAAAAGAGAGTTTAAAAACTTTTGTGCCTTCTTCTAAATGCCTGAGAAGGTAGGCATATATGACCTTCATCACTTGCTCTCCACGTGCCTATTTAAATAGAATCTTTTGCTCCAGCTATAACAATATATGTGATAATGATAATCTTGAGGGCTTATAAAGAATAACGTGAGATTGGAGGTCATCCCATGAATACAAAATAATAATAAAGAGATCTTCTGCATTTCAAGTAGTGTTTTCTTCTGCTGCCATCTCCAAAATTAAAGTGTTTGTCAGGATTTAGCATGCAAACTTCAGGAGTAATGGTGATATATACATATATTTTTTTTAGACAGAGAGAGAGAGAGAGAGAGAGAGCACAAGCAGGGGGAGCAGCTGAGGGAGAAGCAGCTCCCCACTGAGCAGAGAGCCTGACTTGGGGCTCGATCCCAGGACCCTGGGATCATGACCTGAGCCGAAGGCAGACGCTTAACTGACTGAGCCACCCAGGTGATTTATATGAGTGGCCAAAAAGAAAATGTTACCTTCTATCACACCCTTAAAGTTTAAAGGTTAGCAAATCTTTTTCATGGTTAAAATGCAAACTTCCTCTAGTAGCTGCATGTGCTGATGCAAGTATTATGCTGTGTGTTTCTGTACTCCCGATTCCCGTGTGAGCAAATTTCAAGTCACTATTCACATTCTTCTTTCTAAACTTAGGGGTTGGTGGGACTAATGAGCACTGTCACCTAGAGGCACATATCGTGTAGGGAGAGTACCGAAAATAAATATGATAAAAGCTTGTTGAACTTCTACTCATCATTACTTTATGTTTATTACCGAGAGATCAGCAATCCCATTCAGGAAGATGGCCAGGCTTTGAAATGAAACAGATTTAAATCTGAATTCCAGTTTGGCACTTACTGACTCTGTGGTCTTAGCTAACTTTCTTAACCTTTCTATGCCTGAGTTTCATTGGCTGTTAGATAAGAATAATAATACATATTCTGCAAGAATTTTTCTGAAGATTAAATGTGATTGTAAAATATGAAATGATATGTCACCAAATAATATGTCCCAAAAATAGTAGCCATTGTCATTAATATACAGTTAGAGGTCTTGTTTTTAACAACAAGGGTTTGGCAACCCATTCAAATTAAATTTCTTTCAGTTTGATCTGGCCGTGTGATTTATGATGTTTTAAAGATTTTATTTGTTTATTTATTTATTTTAGAGAGAGAGAGAGTGCACAGGAGAGGAAGAGGGAAAGAATCTCAAGCAGAATCCATGCTGAGCACAGAGCCCGACGCGGGGCTCGATCTTACGACCCTGAGACTGTGACCTGAGCTGAAACCAAGAGTCAGACGCTCATCCAACTGAGCCAGCCAGGTGCCCCTATTTATGATTTCTTAAATGGTGGTGGTGGTGGTGTATATGCGTTCGTGTGCAGGGGAGTGGGCGGTGTAGTAGGAGGTGGGGGCTTTAAAAGGAAAGCTCACATAACCTGGAGTAGGTCTAGTTTGAAAACTCTCCACAGATTTTTTTGATATAACTATTCCCTTTTTCCTCCTCTGACGGAGTACTTTCAGCTTTATTGTGTTTTTAAAATGTATACACCATGGCTTGTTTGAATTAAGTTGTCAGTAAAGCATTTGTCTGTGGAACTGCTCTTAGAGAATTGCTCATCCCAAATAATTACTTTTAGGTAATGTCAATTCCATTTCACTTGCCAGTGACAGCTTCAGAAGTGGACTCATGCCCCGATTCTGGCCAATGAGGTGCTGGGGCAAGTCTGAGGGGAGGCGATGGGGAAGGTTTGCTCGTGCTGCTAAGGAAGAGACACGGGAGAAGATGATGTGTGTTGGTTCTCTGCGGATGCCTCACCAGAGGGGAGGCTTGTAGGGACTGTGACCAGCTTGCGTGATCAGAAGACCAAGCCAGCATGTGGAAAGGGCACAGAAGCAGAGCCGAGAGTCCCTCCTTTGAATATTTTGTTATATAAAACAACGAATTTCTCTATTGTCCTAGCCATTTTGAGTTGGGATTCTGTCACTTAGAGTCAAAAGCATCCTTGAAAATTTTTAATTTGAATATGAAATATGAAACGAAATAGGGATTTAAATTCTCCTGGATTAAATAATTCTTGAAAAACTTCTGAACCTCTCAAATTTAACACCCTTCACAGAGTTCCAAAGCAGTTAAGGCCAGATGAAGAAATCAGCTCAAGGCAGGGAGACCATCAGGTCCTTGAAGGGCTCACGCTGTCACTCACGTATTTGACATTACTGAATGACACTGTAGAATGCCTGGTTTCTTTTAGGCCCATCTCATTTCTTTCAGGCTCTTTAATTTGCATGTCTACACTGAGGAATTCTTCTCCAATGGATTCCTGATTCCTCCCTCTTTAAAACTGGAAACTTTTCCAGGAGAGTCCAGATGGCACCTCAGTCAATTAACTTGGAGAATCGCACTCCAGTTTAGCACTTTGGGTGAGGGGCACTTGGAGAGTACTGATACATGATCCGGTTAAGATAGTTAACGTGCTGAGTAAATACAAGTGTAACACTTTACACTGCACACCATTTGACTTGAACTATGTCTTCAAAAATTCTTAGCGACTTCATTTGCTCTCGCTGAGACCTGATACTCTTGTGACACTGTGGAGCTCGGAAGTAGCAGCTGATTTACCAAACGGTAAACCCTCTTGAGCCCCAAGGGCATCCTGCCAAAAGACTACTTGAGATTTGCTGCTCCATTTTTAGTACATGGGCTGGATTTCTTGACACTGCTTGAATGTGTCAGCAGCATGAGGCTCTTTGCTTTTAAATATTTTTATTTAAGATGATCTTCGTAAGTCGGTTTGATTTCAGAAATCAGACGATTGCAGAGTCAGATGATTTATTCCTTTAGGACTCACCTCTTTCTAGAAGCATTCCTGGATAAAGCCAGACTTCCTCATCATTGTACGTACAGTCTGTGCTATTTGTATTCACTTTGGTCTCATTATCTGGCTATTTCTTGCCGATATTTTTTTCCCTCTGCAATTAGATTGTAAACTCTGCTAGGTCAGAGAAAATAGCTGCTTCCTTTACAGTATTGAGTAAATATATATAGTGTAGTAGTAAAAGGTTATAGGATGACGAATGCCAATTATGATGGCGTTATTCAATTCACTGCAGCAAATTAGCAAAATAGACTACACAAATGGGAGGAGAGTGCTTCCATTCCACACTAGGAGTACACTGTCGTTTTATAGATCATAAAATGTAATAAATATTTACTGAATGAAGGACCTCATTTTATAGAACACAGAATTATGGAATTGGGATGGATGCCAAAGAAATCACTCTGTGGCCCTCTATTTTTAAAGCAAATTACCCCAGACTGAAGAAACTCTATCTAGTTTTAAAAAGACTGCAGCTCGCACAATGAATCATCCCAACATTTAGAAGCCCTTACTCGTAGGACGCTTTCTTTCCGGCCTCTCCTGGATGGTGGGGAAATTGATGACACAATTCTGCTCAGACACAGAAAAAGCTTCCAAGTTTCCCAAAGTGAAGAAAAGAAAAAGTGGGAGAAAAACAGAGAAAGAGGGGAGAAAAGTTCCAGACAGATGACCAGCTGCTGAGGCTGCAATACATTTTTTGGTGTCAGATATTTATCTTCTGCTCTGAAGGTCTTTTTTTTGTTTTTGTTTTTGTTTTTTTTCTTCTCCCAAGGATATGGAAACAGGGCCTAGTAATAGGAAGGTTAGTGAAAGGTTTTTGTTCTATAGTGCGCTGAAATTATTTCCTTATGGCTAAAGAAAGGCAGCCTATTCTTCTGCTAAAAAAAAAATAAATAAAGGAGCATGTGTAACTGTGTTGAGAAGAATGCTTAGGTTTGGTAATTTCCTTTAAAAAATAAGTTATAACTTACTCTGAATGAATACAGTAGCTTTATATAAAAGATTGTCAACCAAATATGTAGTCCTGGATATTTTAGCCCCATGGACTTCAACTTTCTGGATTAAGGCCAAATGAAAATATCTTCCTTATGGGTTAAGAAGGAATGGTCTGAGCTATTTATTTTAGCTATATAGATGTATGCATGATTTTTGATTAAGGCAGCCACATTCTATTTTAATCAGTGTGAGAACTCTGATTAGGACTTAAGATGGCATATTTTCATTTAATATTTTAGATGGTCCTTTTCTCTTCTGGGGAATGAACAGTTCAACTAAAACAGAAAAGCCACACTGTGTTTTCTTTGGGTCACAGCTCAATAACCTCAGGAGCAACTTACTCTTTCTCCTTTGGGACCTGCGGGGCCATGGGGTCCCATAGGGCCATCTGTACCCTAAAAAAAAAGAGATAAAAATAAGATAATATGAGACATATCCCAAGGGCCATAAGAAAAGCAGTTATAACTCATCCCGGACTTTTCCTGGGTGAATGACGCCTTGAACGCAAGTAAGACGACTCATCTGCTTTCAAAGAGCTCTATACTTGATTCTTTCAGGCCAGTGGTTTCCAAGAAACTCATGCAGAAAGGATGAGTTATGTAACTGCGTATTTCAACGAAAGGCACACACGAGAAGATGGAAGTCGGATTTAATTATATACCTCCTCCCTGACTTCACGGAACATCTTCAGGAGAGAAACGGAGTCGTTTTCCCCTCATACCACTTCCCCAAGTCCATTCTCCACCCACTGTCACCCCCACGCTCCCGGGCCACGAAGCTTTGTTTTCAGCTGGTTAAGAGGCTTGAACGGTCACACAAGTGGAAAAAAATATGAAATAACCGAGAACAATATTGAACTGCCCAAACCAAACTTCCTTCGGCTCTGCGGGGAGCAGCGGGGGGCTTAGAGGAAAGGAGTGATTCTCAGAGGCTCTGCTGCTGCTTACAAGACACAAACCCGGCAGCCGGCTGATTTAATGGTATAATTGCCCCCTGGCCTCCTGGTGCAGGATTAGGATTTCTGTCTCAGACTGAATGGACATGGGAACACTAGGTCCAGTGAAAACAACGACTGCCTGAAGCAGGTTTTTAGAATTGAAGAGCTTGGAATTTCTTTTTGATTCTTAGACATGTAGCAAGGACTTCAAGTAATTTGCTCATTTTCAGGAAGACTGCGCTTATTTGCAAAGAATTTGTTCTAATATTTGCAAACATAGGAACTATTCCAGCACAGGTTTTTAACATAGTATTCCTATTATGTTCTAGTCTTCTTTTTTTCTTCTATCAGAGCTTTGTGATATGAAATCATTTAGGGCTTCAACCCATTCTGATGTTGGTGAATTCTCATCCTCTTATCTGATCTTTTTCTTACTGCCTGAACTCCCAAGTTCATCTTCAGAAGACTTCCAAATACTGATTATCTGTGGCTGATATTTAAGAGATGGAGCTGTTAAGAACCAAAGAAAAGAGACAAAATGACAGAAGACAGACAGGTCTTTCGATGAACAGAGATCTGAAAGTTAGTGTCAAGGTAGAACTTACCTTTTTAATACGGACAGAAACAAAAGGAAGAGCAAATTCAAATAAATTCACATTATTTTGATCCCTTCAGAGGAGCTTGCTCATGGAACTATAGGAAATGTCCATTAGCTCTGGAAAAATCTGTCTGGGATTCTAAGATAGTGAGGCTAATCAGACTGGTCATTCCTGCCACCTAGCAAGTTCTCCAGCCCGGAACTCGGGCTTCCGAAGGATGTCCTGCAGTTTAGGTTGTGAGTCAATCAGAGCTGCAGCCTCTGTTCTGCCCACCTTTCCCTTTTGTACCACATCTTTGTACACCTTCTCCTTTCACTCCAGTCTTATGTCCCCCTCATCACGTGATGGGAGTACATGGGGCAAAAGAGTCTGTCCCAAAGCACAAATTCATAGCCACAAAACATGTTGGAGCAAGATGAGGTACTGACTCACCCGGGATCCTGGCTTTCCGTCTAAGCCAGATGCTCCCTGTGTATTTGGTTGGTAGCAGGGTTGGTGGGTATGACACGAAGGACAAGAACAGAGATTAGTATGAGGTACTGATGAACAAATGTAACGCTTCAAACAACATCATACACAGTCACGGGGTTCTGGGATGAATATCACATCGCTACAAATTGTTAGTTTAAAAAAAAGAAACAAAACACGTGACAATAAACACCCCACAGATGATGGCATTTTAATGACATTTCCATTCGACAAATTCTTGTTTAGAAATCAAGATAATGAGGTTTATAAAGCGGGCTTTAAAGTAGTTACTGGTAACATTCACAGACTGCTAATTTCCATATGATACACATTTTCTAAAAAGTGTACTGTTGACAATAAACTTCTTCAGGTTTTGAAAAAAACATAATGGCCAATATTTTAAGAAAGGGCTCATTATAATAATCAATCAAAGTTAGCATTTCAGAGGAGAAGAAAAAGGCTCTAGTTTTTCTTGTTAAAACAGCACTTATGAATAACAACTGCAGAATTTCACCATGCCAAAATGACTGTGGATTTTACATGAACAATTCTCATTGTTTTCGGGTTTTCTTACTGTGTTCACATTAGTTACCACTAGAGGGACTTCTAGGAATAGGAAAAAGCAGGAAAAAAATTTCACGAGTCCAAACAATAAATAACTGTCACAAACAAAATTGTTCCTCAATTCACTTCAAACAATCATTGCATCAAAGTCTGAAGGGGAGATGCTTTAAAAATATAATGTTATTCTCAGGCAATGCATGCCTTTTTTTTTTTTTTTTTTTTACCTTGAACTCCAAGCTATGCATAGTGTATGATTAAAATATGACATTTTCAATGCTTGTTTCAAGAATAAGCACAATTACTTCTTTGAATATGTCTTTTGTATCTCAAAACTCAAATACTGACTTACAGTCCTTTAAAAATATTGATTAAATCAAGGAGTATTTAAGAAAGACGATACACTAGCCCTATAAATTCTCTTGGCAAGGTTGAAGAACTATGTTCCCATTTTATGCTTCAGATATAGTTAATAATAAAAAATGGAAGAAAAAATCTATTCCAGCTGCAAACTCTACCAATAACGCTATACTATATATACTAGGATGTTTTTGGTTTTTTATTTTACAATTTCTTCTGTATAGTTCTATTATGAGTCAGACTGTAATTGCAAAATGCATCTTTAGTTAGCAATGATTAAAATTTTTAAAAATCTGTGTGGTGCTTAATGCTAACATATGTAGAGCCTTGACTAAATATTGCATAGAAATTATCACTAGCTCTAACTATGAAATTAGGGCAAACTTTAATGAAATCACATTGAGGGTTTAATAAAACAGAAACCCAAACTTCCTTTTGCCTTTTGATACTTTGTTCAGAGTCACCATTGTTATAACATTTAAAAACAAATAGGGAGATGGTAAAATTTTGTACTGATAGTATAACATTATATTTGTTTGGAATGTGAATTAATGACTCACATATATTATAGAGGTATTGTGCCTCTAGTCCATGGTCTAATTGGTGTGATTTAACCTATACTCTAATACACGGTTTATATCATTCACTCATAAACGAGTACATATTGAGCATCTACTATGTGCCTGATCTATGTAAGGCACTGGCTAATGAGTAGAATACTTTAGAACTTGGGGCGCCTGGGTGGCTCAGTTGGGTAAGCGACTGCCTTCGGCTCAGGTCATGATCCTGGGGTCCCGGGATCGAGTCCCGCATCGGGCTCCCTGCTCGGCAGGGAGTCTGCTTCTCCCTCTGACCCTCCTCCCTCTCATGCTCTCTGTCTCTCATTCTCTCTCTCTCAAATAAATAAAATCTTAAAAAAAAAAAAAAGACTTAAAAAAAAAAGAATACTTTAGAACTTAAAGTACCAACATTTTTTAATATGTTAAAATATGTGTATAAACTATTTTCTACCAATTTTATGTCTTATTTTAATAACGTAATTTATAATGTTCTTTACTGACTTTTATCTGCATTCACTGAATAGTCAGCATGCTAAAACCTTGAAACTAAAACCTCATATTTAACAATCATTTTTAAAAATCTCTTTTTAGTTATAGGAAGAAGACCGGCATAAAGTGCATACAAGATGAAAATTCCCTTTTCACTAAAAATAAAAATCTCAAAAAATAAAAAACAAAAAAATCTCAAAAAAAATCTCGAAACTACTGCAAAATACTTCTTCCATCCTGTCCACTGTTGCCAAAAGAACCAGGTAAGAGGGCATTTTCAAAACAAACAACACAAAACATTTAGACCATGATAGGATTGATTAATGTAAGGAGCCACGGCACTGACCTCACGCCATCAGCAATGGCCAATTGCATACCTGCCACCCAACAGAGGGCTACAATTTTTGGTATCAAAAGAGAAAAAAAACTGAGGGAGGATTCTGAACTGCACTAAATTATTAAAACATTTGGGAGAAATTAGGACATAATCAGCACAATGCTTTTTTTTAAGGGCAGGGTGATGGGAGAAGAATCATCCGTGTTTGAAGAGGAAGGTTGGCATGTATGTAATTGAATGACAGAACACTTAGAGCATCGCTTGTCACGGGATCTTCCTCTGACACAAGAGCAGGCATCAAACAAAACTGGGCTGAGCTCTGCTCTAATAGAATATGTTTTCCAGTCACAGAAATCTCACATGTAAGATAGTCACCGAGTAAACCAGAGTTGTTACTTAGGGTAGAAAGAGAAGTCTGAGATTTGCACTGAAATGGAAAGTTTTCTTTACTTACTGGAAGACCAAGGGGTCCTCTGTCACCCTTTTGACCTGGTTCACCCTTCAATCCTTTAACACCATTTAACCCTGGTTCACCCTAAATGCAAAAGCAAATGCCAATTTTGGTTGCTATCATGGGTGTTTCAACTGCGAAAGAAGAGAGCCAGTCTCTGAAATGGTTGCAGATTCCAGTTCTAGGTAACAGCAGAGTCAGGCTAGACTTGTCTTGCATCCATTCAAAATTCATTTCAGACATTTAAAAAAAATTAATAAACTGAAATTGACAAATAATATTCTAGGAAGCAAAACTCCTGAGCAAGTGTACTCTTTACAACTGAAATGCATATGACTGAGTTCCACAGTTTTCAGTTCTACATCAGAGAAACTGGTGTTATGCTACCTTGTTCTCACCAAGCAAATCAAAGACAGAGTGGAGGATGCTGAAGGAGGTTCAGTAGGAAAAACCCACTCTGCTGGAATGAAAAACTGGAATATGCAGGACAGTGTTATATACAGATATTTTAAGCCTTTAAGCATTTTGCCCTGGGGAATGAGCTAGAAATGTAGCAGCTGATGTTTGAAGTAGTGCCATTTAGTGAGTCCTCATTCACTGACATTGCCAAGTCAGATCCCTACATGGATTAATCCACAGAATAGACAACAAATAGCTAACCCCAGAAGAGAATATGAAGACCACAGTGCTTAAATGTAATTTTACTAACTGTATTTCTATCCAATGTTAAAATAAAGAAGGATGGAATTTAACCTCAGGTGACATTACAAAAGTCAAGGTAAGTGAGAAATTCTCTTGACTCTGATATTTAAAAACCTAAGAATACAGTACAACTATTTTCTATGAGAAGCAACATGTTAGGAGTAAGAGTCCTGACCTGTCCACTTTTCAACTTTTAAGTAAAGGCATTAATTTCATCACAAAAGTCTGGAAAGATTCGTGAAAGGAAGATGCAGTCTCAAATGCCCTATAGAGTCTCGCTGGGTAGGAGTGGGAGCGGGGAGAGAGTGTGCTTCTGTGGCAGGAGGAATTACTAACCTCGGCAGTATTTTCCCCATTTGTCTGACTGAGGGAAGTCAGTGTGATGTTTGTTAAACACAGAGTCCAGGGCCCCACTTAGCGTTGAACTTCCAAAGGGGTCACAACGTAATGAACACATTGGCATGACCTGGTGGGTTCTGGGGATTCTGAAGGCAGGATGTTTGCTGTGCTGCCACTATAGGAAGTCCAAATGTGCTGTGGTGGGTGAAGTGTGATCCTGGGAATGTCCCAGAGCTAAAGTCAATGTGAGGTTAAGGCCAAGGCTCAAGAGTCGGCTTTAGTTAACTGGTCTCAACTTGAGATTGATGGCTTTGCCTGTATGTGGACTTTCCACTAGAGGTCTTGTGATGATGAATAGGCAGGGCTGCCTTGGTAGGTCATGAAATTCTGTGGTGAGGAATCAGACATTGACACAAGTGGGCATTAACTGAGAAGGTGAATTTATAAACAATCAAATGTAGTGGCAGAAAGACCAAATTCTAACTCTGGACCTAAGTTCCAGTCCCAGATCAGTCATTTAATTAGCAGTGTAACTCAGGGCAAATAATCTAAATTTCATGGGCCTATAGTTTATCATCTGTAAAATCAAGGAATGAGCACAGGTAACCTATAAGGTCTTTTCAACTTTATAATTTTCTGAAATCTATGATTTAAGTGGTGCCTTGAAATCCAAGGAGAAGCCTAGAGTAGGAACTGCTGATTTAGTCCAGAGTGGGGAAAAGAGACCCAGAGAGGTTTAGATAACTACCAAGACCACAAAGCTGATAGATGGGCTCTCTCTTCTGACCCCCAGAAAACAATGCCCTTACCCCAAACTATAATCCATACTTCTGAGACATTGTCACACACTGCCCTTACCAGAAGATAGGGTGTTCTATGAAGAGGCATGAACTCTTCCCATTCTTGAGTGAGTCACCTGCCTGACCCCAAAAGTGAAACTTAGTTTTCTGGGGTCAGACCAATACTTCTACACTCCTAAAGTTGGGTGGGCCAGGGGAAGCCTAAGCTTTCTCATTTCTAGCTCTTGCATTTATGTGTTCCCCTACCCCTCACCATTTAAACGCACCAACTCTCTCCTGAGGAGCTTTCAAGAGTGCTTGAAGCTTCTCTCATGCATTTTTCCCCTTGAATTCTTAAATTCAGAACAAAGCATAAAATCACAAGATGCTAACAACTGACATTTATTGGGTGTTTATCGACAACTGCACCAGATATTTTGCTTAAGTATCTTATAAATATACCTCATTAAATTATCACAACACTAGGAGGTAAGTTGCCTAGTTGAGTAAGCAAAGGATCAGAGCAGGTAAATAGTCTGCCCAAGGTGACACAGCCTATCAGTGTCAAAGCTGAGATTAGAACATAGGTACTCATTACATACGCTCTCTAGAAGAAGGAACCTTTCTTTCAGGGCTCATTTTAATCTTCCAAGATGTCCTCTTGGTCTACACAAAAGCAGAGAACAGGTGCAAACCATCTTTACAACATAAACTGCACTAATTCTGACAAGGAGGGGTATTCTCTATTGTTTTCTTGTTAATCCAGAGTATAAAATACATGTAAGTGATGTAATCTTCTCTTCACTAGAGCACACCTGATCCACCCCACCCCATTCTAGACCAGTGATCTCTGGGGGAGTACAAAATTAAGATGTTGGATAGTCAAAGCATTTAGATGCAGTACTGTTATATGACAAACAAGGAGTATCAGTAACATCTGAATCTGCAACTAACGATACATAATAAGAAAGAGCATCTGGACTAGTCTGAGAATCTCATCAGATTCACTTCTAAATTGTTGATTTTGAGTATATTATGATTAGTAACTTAAGAAACTTACATAGTGTCATGGAAAAAGGCAAAATGAGGAATAATTCATCTCCAGGTGATATCACTTAAATCTGTTGTAAGTCATTCTGTGTTGTGAGATTCAAACATCTGGATACTTAAAGGCTTAAAGATTATCAACATTACTTGACAGATAAATAAGACAGGACAGACATGCTTCTGTCATGCTTCTCCATGATTAACAAAGAAACAGAAATCAAATAATCAAGGGATTTTTTTTGGATTACCTTTGGTCCAGGAAGTCCATGGGGTCCCTGAAAATGAAAAACACAGATTTTAATTAAGAATTGATTCACTATTTCCTAGCAGAAGTGATTATTGTATAGCATAACCAAAGAGATGTATAACAAGAATCCTCCTGTTTGAGCTATAGCTAGGAGCAAGCCAGTGGATGCTATCACCTAGTGAAAGTTCCTTCTAGCTCTCGGATTGTTCTGTAATTGGAAATTCACTAACAGCAATTCTTTCTGCTAAATACCTGTGAGAGGGAGGGAGAAATCTGCCAGGGTTATGTGGAAGAAAAAAATTTTTTTAAAGTACTGTGACTACACTACCCCTATTTCTCAAATCCACATTTTTATAAAATCTAGGTGGAAAATGTGAAACATGTTATGAGTTTATATGGAATAGAGGTAGGTCTTAAAATACAGAAATTTGCCAAAGAAAAGTTCCAAACTTTAAGTATGGGTGAAGAGGAGACCATTTACATTATTGAGTCCTCTAGACCCAAGAGGAATCTAAAGGAAGAGGGAAATGAGGAGATGACAGTCAAGTTTGGAGCCCTGTTGCAATTTAATTAATTCAATTAATTTAATTTAAGACGAAGGAAAGTATTTTAATACAGGAGCACTAAGCATTATTAGTTAGAATGCATTTGTTCTTACAAAGATGAATTCTTCAAGGCTCTCGTAATAGTTGTTTACCAGTGGAAAGAAGTTATAATGCATACATGAATCAGGGTTTTTCCCCTGTATTTTGTGGAAAATCTAACTATAGATAGAGACTAATTTCCAACCTAGATTAGCTTAAGATTATTATGGGTTGTTTTAAACTTTTCAAGTGATTTAAATGAACTCTTTGGAGAGGGGAGTATTTAAATACCCAACAGCGAAATCATACAACAGTACGAAAAAGTTTTTTACCAAACAATATACAGATAGTTGTTACATATGTCTATATTGGAATAATATTTTCCCTTTAGGTAAGTGGCAGATAAGCATTTTCAGGAAATGGCTGTTACTTTATCAAGTAGTCTTATTTCAGTAATGGTGTAACATCCCTTTAAAGTGATTAATTTTATATGAACAGGATATAGCATTTTAAAATTTAATTTTCTAACTTAAAGTGGAGGGAGTATAAAAAAAAGCCCCAAGTATGCCATTTATTTAATTCTTAATGAATTGTTTAGTTTTAAGAAAATAAGTTTAATGATAACTTTTTTGTGGTATGAAATAGAAATGGCAGTTAGTAAGAAATAGATGATTGGGTCTACGGCTATGCTTTGTGGCTTAGATCATTTCAGTGACACTCTTTCTTAGAGCACAACAGGAGGAAAGAGTGACCCATGGTTTATTTAATCTGTATGATTGAAGATGTGGGGTTTATTGAGACACCTTAGAGATGAATGTGACCTTAGACGCTACCTAACTTGTCTGAGTCCTGCCCCAGTCAAAGGCATTTGAAGCACTCCGCCTTCTACGTTCTAGCTTTAACACTAGTGCCATTGGGTGGACATTTTAAGAATTACACCGGTTTAATGGCTGCCTTCAGCACCTGACATGAGTTCTATGAGAGCATGGCCATTGACTCTATTGGTCACTGAGGTATACTTGTAGTAAACACTGGATCCACCAGAGTACCATAAAGATGAGAAGAAAAAGAAGCAACAAGATATGTCATCTGTGGAAGTGAGCTTCAATTTTTACCATATTATTTTATAAGTGTTCCTATCAAACATCTCATTAAAGGATTTCAACCAAAGTTGGTTAGACACATTCATTAATGGCTACAATTATTAATCTTGTTATGCTACTAATGGCCTAAACAGTGGTTGGTTAAGATGATTTTTTGATGTTCATACTGTAGGTTGGAGTAAAGCTTGTTAAATCTACCTTCAAGTCTCCTATCACAAAACTACTCTATGTCTTTTCAAGAGATGCGTTTGGGGGACTGAAAGACAGCACTATAATAAAGTCAGTATATCTCAAAGCACCTTGTATTTTCTGTCCATTCCAGAGAGTAGCACAAAATACAAACTGGCTGTTTTGAGGGATTGTGTTCTTGTTTTTTTCTAGTAGCATGCTTGTAAATAAATGATTACATTTTGTAGAGAAGAAAGGCTTACCATGGGGCCTGGTGGGCCATGGGGGCCTGGTGGGCCTGGTGGGCCTATGATCTGTATGTCCAAAACATAAACAAGGATTTGGTTACTTGATTTAGATAAGGCAGTTTGGCTTGAATCTTATGCTGGCGTTCTGCTAAGGCCATTAATAGCTGCAGTGGAAGAATACTAGAAGAAGTGATGCATTTAATTCTTTACCTTTAGAAATTCCTTCATGAGAATTAAAAAAAAAAAAAACCACTTAAAAAAATACAGTTGTTTTACAAAAACCAGAATAAATTTAAAGTACATTAAAAGAGAAGAGAGCAACTGATTACCAAGAAATGCTATAATGCCACAACCACTATTAAACTCTCAAATTATTTCACTGAGTAGCAACAGGGCTCTGGAGAAAAAAAAAAGTATGTTCTGTATTCACAAAGCTCTACCCAAAAGCATTATGGGAAAACCATTGATTTTCTCCTTACGATTAAAGAGTCCCCTAAAAAACTGCTTTTAACTCAGACCTCTGAGACAATTTGTCTCTCATTGTACAAGGCCGACAGACATATTCTCTACAGTTTGACAAACTAAGAGGTTCACGGTCTTTCTACTGTTGATAAGCCATCTGGCACAGGTCGAACTGGGTAAATAAAAGGTCTGTTTCAGAGTTCTTTAGGAACCATGGGAGTTCAGCTGCCATGGACTTACAGAAGGACCCTGAGGACCTGGCAATCCGGAGTCTCCTTTTTCTCCTTTCATTCCATTGGCACCCTACAAATAACCAGTAAGAGTTGAGATGGTAAAGTTGTTCCCAAAGTGTAAGACCCATCATTCTTTTGAAATTTTTATAACATTATACACATGATATATAAAAGAAGGATTTATCCCCTTGCATTTTAATCTCAAACAGCAAGCTTCTCCAAATCTCTAGGATTGTGGGTGATATGTGAAATAAAATATAAAGTAAATAAAAACTAGGGTAGGCTTGATTGGTTAAACTTATACATTGTTAAATATATCAGATTATAAATGTTCTATTTCTTATGATGGTGCTCACTTTAAATAGCAAAGTTCAGTCTTTTAACTTAGTTTTCATTGACATTTATTTATACACTTCCTTGCTTTAAAATAGATCTAGGGCAGTGCAGTTTTCTACATTTTTTTCTATTTTTCCTTCCAAATTCTCAGTAGAAATTATGGGGTAAAACCATAAAAACACCATTCCATTCACACAAAGGGAACACTTTTCAAGAGTAACTTGTTTTTAAATTGTTTTACATTTTTTAGTTTGTTAATTTTTTTATTATTATAGTTTATTTAAAAGTGACCAGCTACCACCATTCTATGCATACCAAATTAAAGTAATCAACTATATTTATTTTACTATCTTCTGATGAAAATAATTCAGGAAAACATGAAGGTTTATTTTATAATTCATTTGGTTAGATGCTTTAAAACTTGTTTTAGTGGCCCAGTTGGAGTCATTTACCAACAATACCTCAAATATTTAAAAATAAAAATATTACATTTTTATGTAATATTAACCACTAGATGAGACTGCAGCTAATCATATAACTCTTTTTTGATTATTTAATTTATCTTAATATGAACACAACCTAAAAAGTATAAACATACCGGTAATCCAGGAAGTCCAATTCCTCCTTTTTCACCTGGCATACCTGGGTCCCCCACGTCTCCCTTTGAGCCTTTAAGTCCCTACAAATGATATGGTTTGCATGTAAGAATCATACTGACCCTTGATAATAACATTCTAGGGAAAACAGAATTCCAGATCAATTTTGTCAGTGGGTGGCCCCATGCTGAGATGATTCTGATTTTTACTATTAGGTAGAGTTATTTCTTATAGCAACCTTCCACATTGAATCAATACTATTTCCTCATGTAATGAGAGGGGTTAAGTTCTACTACTTAGGTCATTTAAGTATGAAAATCATGAATTTAGGTGTTAACATAGTTTCTCCTGATTCTGTATTTTTACCTGGAAGCTAATTCGATACCACTGGTCCTGAAAACAATTTAAGGGATTAAATTCTCAGCAGGACAATATACATTTTGAACCAGGACTAACGTTATAATAACAAAGGTTCCAATAAATTTCTCCCATCTCTATCCATACTTCCCTACCCCTCTTAAAAGCAGGCAGAAGTTCCAGTCACCATCAGTTTCAATGGTTCAATATAGAGAAAGGTAAATAATGTCGGCACCAATCATTAGGTGCCTAGTCATTAGGCACCAGTGCTCAATTAAGTTTAGAAACACTTCAACTTTTCCACAGTGTTATTTTATTCTCATGACATCCCTGTGAGGTGATCCATGAGGTTATTTTAATTCATTTACAGTGAGAAAACAGATGTATTTTTTGAGTGCTAGCAAATCTGAATTTTGTAATAATAAGAATACTGAAGTTAATTTATATTGTTAAGCATTTTCATCCAAGGGGCTTCACTATCCTACGACCAGATGGCCCATTCTTGAGCAGGGATGATCATAGTTTTGATAGTCAGGGGCCCCTGGCTGCACAAACCTGTTCATCTTTTCCATACTACAAACTACTTAAGGACAGGAACATGTCTTTTCTTTACTTTTACCTATAGCACTTAGTTCAGAATCACTCGCTAGGTGGGTGGGTGGGTAGGTATCTGAATGGGCAGATGGATCTTACTGGTTAATCAGCTCCTGGTTGGTTTTAGGAAGCTAGTGATGGAGAGTAGCAGGGTAGCCAACCTCTGCTATTAGACTTAATAGCAGAAGAAGAACTTGTGAAGCTTATAGAAAAAAAAATCCAGCTATTGTATATGTAGGGACCATGTAGTATGTTACTCTGCATGTCAGATTAATTATTTTTAATGACTAACATTGGGAAAGGAATACAGCTAGCTTTTCTTTGTATTCTCTTTGAGAGAGAGAGAGAGAAAGAGAGAGAGAGCATGAGTGGGAGAGGTACCGGGGGAGGGAGAGAGAATCCCAAGACTCCCAAGCTGAGTGTAGAGCCCAATGCAGGGCTCTATCTTAGGACCCTTAGATTATGACCTGAGCTGAAACCAAGAGTTGGACGTTTAACGAACTGTGCCACCCAGGTGCCCTAATACAACCAGATTTTTAAATTCTAATGTGATTTCTGATTAATAATAGCAAATCATCTAAAGTCTCTTAATTTTTTAATTATCACATTTATTTAATGTGACATTATAGGATTTCAACATTCAACTCTGATACTAAGATAACTCTTAAACTTAATTTCTTTTTTTTTATTTTATTATGTTATGTTAATCACCATACAGTACATCATCAGTCTTAATTTCTTATCTAATACTGTCTCCTGGGGAGCATATTTTGCCAATTAGATGAAGAATCCTTTTGATTTCTTATGATCTTTTTTTTAAGACTTTATTTATTTATTTAACAGAGAGAGACACAGTGAGAGAAGGAACACAAGCAGGGGGAGTGGGAGAGGGAAAAGCAGACTCCCCACTGAGCAGGGAGCCCAATGCGGGGCTCGATCCCAGGACCCTGGGATCATGATCCGAGCCGAAGGCAGACGCTTAACGACTGAGCCACCCAGGCGCCCCTGATCTTCTTGATTTTAGCCATTTCTTGAGTAAATAATGGAAGCCCAGAAAACATCAAATATCTTGAAGCTAACCATTGTGATTTGACTCTGAATTTCCCATAGTGTCCACATTCTCCTAGTCAGATTCTTTTTGGGCAGAGGTAAACCACAACTTCTAGGCCAAATCCAGCCCAGGGATTATTTTTGCATAGCCTGAATCTTTGAAAAAAATTTTAAGGGGTGTTCAGATAAAAAACAAACGTGACAAAGACCCTATGTGACCTGCAAAGCCTAAAACATTTACTATCTGGTCCTTTATAGAAAAAGTTGGCCAACCTCTGTTTTAAGGGAAACCTTTGGAGATACTGCCATATTCTGTGAAGGTACAAATACCCAACTTGTTTCTGTTTTTTTCCAATGATCTTGAAATTTAGGTGTAATCTTTATTTGGGAAAAAATATTGTCAAAATAACGTATGTAAGCAATATCTAATTTTGTGGAAACTTTGATTGAGTGATTTTAATCTTGAATGATTTGTATTCACTGACAAAAATTAGCCTATTCTTACTAAATTGGTAATGATCTTATAAGTCTAATAAAAATTTACTGAAGTGTCACTGGTAGATTGATAAGGAGTATTAAGACAAAACTAAAATGTCATTATCGCTTATATGTTTCTGCAAAGAAAACTAATGTCTAATTTAAAACCAATTGCTTTTTAGAGTTAATGTAATCTCTACAACAGATGGTGAAAAAAGAGAGAGGATATCATATATCAACACTCATGTCTTTTTGGCTCCAAATCTATAATAAAAGTGGTGATCAATTATGATGCTTTAAATGATAGTATATATCTTTGAAAATTACCTGCTCTCCATCAACTCCTGGGATTCCTGGAGATCCTGGTTCTCCCTGTTAATATAAAAAGTGATGGCTTGCCTCCATTTATCATTGGTAAATAAAAGTCATGTTAGCTGGTGACAGTACAATTTGACTTTCAGCAAATGCATCATAACCCAGGAACAGTTCGTTACATCATACACATATCAAAACTAAGTGAAATAACATTTTCTTGAAGATTATATATAACAATACTTATAAGTGGCTAAGATCAAATGTTTTTATTTTTTGCCCCAAGTGAGATGTAGGCTAAAGGAAAAAATGGTGAAAGAAAAACTGATAGAGATTATTTGGTGGCTGACCATATTCTATAAAAACAACCTATATGCCTTAGTTAATTTTTTTCTCCTTAAAAAATCTGTATGATTTCTCTTCATTTTCCAACTTGAGAAAAAAGCAAAAACATGACAGTTGACCTAAGAACAGAATGCAAAGCCCCATAAGTTTATAATATTTTAACTGATACCATTTGAACAATGGATAGAGGTTCATGATTGTGAATGTGTATTTCCAGATAGAATCAATCAGATAATATCTTTTTAAAAAAAATTTATTGTTATGTTAATCACCATACATTACATCATTAGTTTTTGATGTAGTGTTCCATGATTCATTGTTTGTGCATAACACCCAGTGCTC